CTGCCGGCCAGGGTCAAACCACGACACATAGGTCGTGCAAGTTTGATTAAAAACTGAAAGGACACTGACCTGAAAGTCGTTTTTAGCAACAGTGTCAGTGGTACTTTCTCATGATCTAGTAGAGGTGGGCTGGCAACAGCATTTTTATGTTCTGTATTTTAATACATGAAATCTGGCATCCTTGATAGCATAAAGCAAGGCTTTAATTTTCTTGTACTGCATTTTACTGAGCTGCCTACTGGAGAAGGCTTAGGTGGTCAGGATGGTATCTCTTCTGATTCCTCAGAACTTAAAAGTTCTCTGAGGGAGCATCCTGTAACAAAGATTCCATTCCCATACTTGCAAGACTGTTCTGATGAGCACATTTCTGCACCTTCTACAAATTATGCAAAATGTCAGCTTTCTTACACACAGCTCTGACTATCCAGCTTTCCAGGAATTTGCCAAGTTTCTCACACTGCTCAATAAACACCTTTGTAGGGTGCATTTCATGCTCATTTGGACCAGGCACCTACTATTAGCTTTTGCCAATTAGGCGGTTTGCTAGGTTAAAAGAACAAAAAGCAAACACAATCAACCTTGTCCCTCAGAACAAATGGTGCATAGCTTGACTTGCTCTGTATTCTCGCTCCTATTTTTTTTACAACTACTTTAATGTGGGAATAATGTTTATTCAGATCTGTTCTAAGATGCTATTTTGTCAAAGCATATTTGTAATTGCAAGGCTGTAAACAAATTAGAGGCTTTCCCACTCCTAAAATCCAGTCTTACTGCGGGGAAGCTGCCAGTAATGATAGTAATTTATTTTAGCAAACAGCACGCTCTGACTAGGCTAGAAAACAAAGCCTACTTGCTCTTAAAAATAACTGCCTTTGAACTACCTCTCTCTAGCTTAAAGAGATTCAGCTTTTCTCCCACAGCATCGGTCAGAGGTGCAACAGGAGCCACAGCTGTCACCCCGGCTCCCGCGGGGCACCCCTCTTCTGGTCACAGGGTGCCACTCACTGAGCCCACACTGGAAACGAGCTGGGCCACTTAATTATACATGTGAGGAGCTCAATTTCACTGTCCTGCAGACTTAAGAAAATACAAAAGTAGGAAAACTCAGTTCAGGTCACTTTGAGTGATAGCTTGATTTGAGGGAAGAGCAGAAGCCTTCTGTTTCCTCAGCACCTTGGATTCCAGTAAGAAGGATCTTGTTTGCCAGGTATAAAGCACAATAACTATATTCATGTTAATAAAGTTTGGGGGTTGAGGATTTTTTTTTTTTCACTGTGGAATCCAGGTCTGATTTATTCTGATCACTCGTTGCATTCTTTGATGCAGCAACCGTCCCCATTCATATTACCTGAGGGTCCTTCCTGAAAGCCCTCTCTGGACTGGATCAGCTGCACTCTTTCTTCTTTCCTTATTTAAACTTATCTCTCTGAGTTTTTAATAATTTCTCCTTTGCAGCTATGTCCGTCACACAAAAATCAAATTATTGTGCAAACGCTCCCTGGGCTGAGGTGGGGAACAGCTGAGCAGGCTCTGGGGGAAAGCTGGGCTTCCTCAGCACAGATCTGAGGCAAGGACAGCTTGGAGCCAGCCAGACAATCTGATAAACTCCACAGAGCAGGACAGAAACCGCTCAACAGTCCGAGAAGGTGGTAAGAGATCATAGAATGATCTGGGTTGGAAGGGACTTCAAAAATCATCTAGTTCCAAATCCCTCACTATGGCAGGGACATCTCCCCCTAGATCAGGCCCCATCTGGCCTGGCCTTGAACACCTCCAGGGATGGAGCATCTACAACTTCCCTGAGCCACCTGTTCCAGTGCCTCACCAACCTCAGGGTAAAGAACTTCTTCCTTATAACTCATCTAGACCTACACTCTTCCAGCTTCCACCCATTACCTCTCGTCCTGTCACTACAGGCCCTTGTAAAAAGTCCTTCCTCAGCCTTCTTGTAGGTCCCCTTCAGGTACTGGATGATGGGTAAGACAGACCTTCAGGTACTGGAGATGGATAAGATAGACTGGAAGAGAGGCACCAGGCCAAGGAGGAGCAAAATTTGATGAGGGAACTGAAAGGAGGAAGTACAGAAGGGCTATGGAGAGGCAACAGCTTTCGGCGAGCTCAAGAGGGTGAGAAAGCCTAGAAAAGCAAGAGTGTGGGTTGCTAGGA